TTTTGTGTGTGTGTTGAGAATTGTGAGGGAATTGCGTGTGTTAGAGATTGTGTGTGTACTGGGAATTGTGTTGAGGATTGTGTGTGTTGGGGATTTGGTGCATGTGTTGGGGATTCTGTGCATGCTGGGAGTTTTGTGTGTGTTGGGGATTATGTGTGTGTTGAGGATTGTATGTGTTCTTGGGATTGTATGTGTTGGGAATTTTGTGTGTGTGTTGAGGATTGTGTGCGGGGGGGATTATGTGTGTTGGGGATTAATGTTGGGAGTGTGTGTGTGTTGAGAGATTGTGAGGGATATGTGTTTGTGTGTGTGTTGAGGATTGTGTGCGGGGGGGATTATGTGTGTTGGAGATTGTGTGTGTTGGGAATTTTGTGTGTGCGTTGATTGTGTGCGGGGGAATTGTGTGTGTTGGAGATTGTGTATTGGGAACTGTATATGTGTTGAAGATTGTGTGTGTTTGGGATTTTGTGTGTGTGTTGGGGATTGTGTGAGTGTTGGGACTGTGTGTGTTGGGGTGTGGTGTGTTGGAAATCATGTGTGTTGGGGACAGTGTGTTTGGCGGAGGGTGTTGATAAGTGGTCTGGAGTGTGATATTGGGGTGCAGGCTCCATGAGTCCCCACCCCACACCTGAGCTCTGGGATCACCTATCTACTTCTGGGTGGGGTCCCAGGACCCTGTACGTCCAGCCTACTAGTCCGGGCCCAGTGCCCATCCCTGCAGGCTCTGTGCTCTCCAGGCTCAGACCCCAGACCCCTCCCAGCCCTGCAGACCCTCCCTGGGTCCACGTGTCCCTTTGCAGGTGCTCCGGTGAGTGTCGGTGTGGAGAGACCATCAGGCAGCCCTGGCCTCAGTGGCCACAGTCCCCTGGCTCCACACTGGGCCCACCCCACCAGGTCTCCTCTCCCATGGCCCAGGGGCCTTCAGTAGGACTGAGGGGAAGAGGGAAGGAGAGCGGGTGACAGAGAGGGAGTGCAGGGAGAGAGGAGACGGGTGGGAGAAGGAGAAGGAAGGAAGGGGCAGGACGGAAGCTGGGTTTCTCCCTGTGCCTGCCCCCTACTCCGGGACACGTGTCCAAGCCCTGGCAGGTGGAATTTCGGGGACAGGGCCTTGGTGGTGAGGAGACCTTCTAGGGCTCTGATAGCATCTCCCACCTCAGAGCCCACCTCCTGGGCCCAGCCTCCCCTCCAGCTCACTCCGTGCCATTCCCAGTCCCACAAAGCTCGGAACCTTGAGGAGGCCCACGGCTGCACTGGACAGAGAGCTTTCAACACAGGCTGGAACAGGGCTCTACAGGGCTGGGGGCAGAGGGCGGTTCTGTCCAGAATCTGCCTTCAGGACAAGGACAGCCAGCACGGGCAGCTTAGCCACTTAGCCACTGCCTGGGCGAGGCCCAGGGCTACGGAGGCACCTACCGACCAACACTTCTTCACCCCCAGAGCCCCAGCCCCTGGGGCACGAGGGTGGGTGTGCCAGGATACAGTTGCTGCGGGCCACCTTAGCTGTCTGGCAGCACAGTGGGCGCTGCCAGGCTCCCCTGGGGGCCCCCTGCCAAGCCCACCCGGCCAGCTGGGCCCCCCACCCCCCACCAAGCCACCCACGCAGCCTCACATCTCCGAGACCCGGGAGTGGCCCTTTGTTCATAAACGAGAGCTTCCTCGCCGTGGCCGCGCCTCGCAGACATCATCTTTGATGCTCTTTTTCCACCGTTTCAGTGCTTTAATGTTTTCCCTTCACAGTCGGGCCGAGTGTCTCTCGGAGCCAGGCAGCTGCGCCAGCTGTCAGGCGGTTTCTAGCCTCGCTTCGGTTATTTTAAGCTGATGAGCCTGACGCATCTCATCACTAATATCAGCAGTTTCATTTCTCCTGTTTTCCATTTGCTGTAATAAAATGCTCAGCGCAGAATACAAGGAGATAAGCAAGCCGCTTCACAAATGCCATCAGCCAGGCCCAGGCACTGGACCCCCTGAACCACCCCGCCCCGGCACAAGTGGGCCGGAGGGCAGGGCCCTGGGGTAGAAGGTCAAGGCTGGAAGGTGAGGTCAGCCTCACTGCCAGCCCCTGCCAGCGCCCCGGCCCCCCATCAGGCCGTTGAAAGCATCACACGGTGGAAAGATCTGGAACCGTGGCCCTGGTGTGGGGCTGTTCAGAAGGTGGAAGCTTTGAGGGGGAGCCGATTAGCCATGGACAGTTGTCATTCAGTAGTGCCACCTGTGTCCCAGCGAAGGGGGCTGGGCCAGGAAGGCAGGGGCCAGGGGCCAGACACCTGCCCCCAGCAGGGGCAGAGGCTGTGGGCAGCCCAGAGGCTCCCAGAGGCTCCCAGAGGCTCCGACAGAATGGGAGTGGGGTTGAGCCCACCCCTCACTGCAGCCCAGGAACCTGAGCCCAGAGGGGGCCACCCACCTTCCAGGCAGGGAGGCCGGCCCCCAGGGAGATGGGGGGATGGGGGAGGGGGAGGGCCTGCCCCCACCCCACAGCCTCAGGAGGGGCAGCTCCAGTGGGATGCGGGATAAGGAAAGAAGCCACAGCAGTGAGCAGAGACACAGAGGAGGAAGGGGCCCTGAGCTGGGGAGACCCCCATGGAGTAGGACCTGGGGGCCACGGGCCCACTCCTCCCCATCTCCTCTGTACCCCTGTCTCTGTCTCTCTCTCCCTCCCCCACCCTCCCCCAGTCCTACCCCCTCCTCACCCCCACCCCCCAGCACTACCTCTGTCACTCCCGCCCACGTGGAGGTGGAGGAAGAGGGGGCGGGAGCAAGGGGCGGGCACCCTCCCTTCGACCTGACCTGGGACAGTTTCCCTTCCGCTCACATCTGCCTCAGCTTGAGCAGCGGAGGAGGCTGCCGGCGGCACTGCTGGGGCTGCTCCAGGCATGCAGATCCCACAGGCACCCTGGCCGGTCGTCTGGGCGGTGCTACAACTGGGCTGGCGGCCAGGATGGTTCTTAGGTAGGTGGGGTCGCGGTCAGGTGTCCCGGAGCCAGGAGTCTGGAGGGACCGTCCCCCCTCAGTCCCTGGCAGGTCGGGGGTGCTGTGGCAGGCTTGGCCCCCGGCAGCCTAGCTCTGCCCCTTACCCTGAGCTGTACGGCTTTGGGCAGCTCAGACTCCTGGGTTCCTCTCTGGGCCCCAACTCCTCCCCTGGCCCAAGTGCCCTCTTTGCTCCTGGGCAGACAGGACCTCTGTCCTCTCTCAGCCGGTCCTTGGGGCTGCGTGTTTCTGTAGAATGACGGGTCAGGCTGGCCAGAACCCCACACCTTGCTCATGGCGAGTCTGAGTGGCGGCTCTGCCTTGCCCAGGCATCCTCGGTTTTCCTAAGGGTGGGACGAGTCCCATGTGGGACTAACCTTGGCTTCACGACGTCAAAGTTTAGATGAACTGGTGATATTTTTCTCATTATATCAAAAGTGTACCTGTTCAAGTGAGGACAGCTCTTCTGTCTCCAGGATCCCTCCTGGGTGGGGACTGTGCTCGCCTGGGTCTCTGCCCAGATTCCAGGGCTCTCCCCGAGCCCTGTTCAGACCATCCCTGGGGGAGGCCTTGGCCTCACTCTCCTGCATCGAGGAGAGGGGGAGCCTCTTCCTGGGCTGCCCGTGACCCTCTGTGTCCACTGTGACCACAGCCCACCCCTGGACCCTCAGTGCCCAGCCAGCCTGCACCTGCGGATGCCGAGGCCTGGGGAGGGTGGTTTACGGTCCTTCTGGGCCCTTCTGGATACTAGGGTGTGACGCCACTGGGAGGACAAGATGAGGGGCACCCTGGAGCTGCCCTGACATCCCCTCGAGGCTCCCATCCCGGGGGTCCTGGTGCCCCTTCACTGTGGCAGGCGACTAGGGGCTCCCCACCTCAGCCCCCTCTCCTGGGGCCTGCTCCCCAGCGCCTGAGGCAGCATCCTCGCCAGGGGCCCTGCCTTTCTGCCTTCGCACCACCTCTTAAGGGAGGCCCATGGGTCACTCAGGACTCAGAACTGGAGACGCTGGGCAAAGGGCCTGTGGCCAAAAGGCACCCCAGGGAGACATTTGTGGGGGAACCAGAGTGTAGAGGGGCGCTCGTCACAGGGGAGGAGGAGCTGAGGCAGGAGGGGAGCCGAGCCTCTCCCCTGTGTCCTGGCTTCTCAGGCACGTCCTCGAGACCCCACCCTCCCCGACCAGGCGGGAAAGATAAGAGCGAGGTGTCTGCAGCCAGACACTCGTGCCTCAGGTGCCTGTGCTTGTGCCGGACAAGACTCTCACAGGCGGCGTGCCTTAGTTTCCCCACCGGTAACACTCAGCACAGGGCACTCAGCAAGGCGCAGTGAGCATGACTGGGGTCCTGTTTGTCCTGACCCAGATGTGGCCACCCTGGCCGCAGTGGTCTTCATTCCAGCATGCCTCTTTTCCCTCCTGATCCGTTCACTGCGTTTGCCATTCTGTCATTCCCGCGGTCACCACTCCCACCTCAGGTGTGTGTTCCCCTTGTGTTTTATGAGATATCCCAAACCCAGCCGCTTGTTGGCCCCTGTCCGGGGGCAGGAGCGTAAATAAGAGCCTCCGCTTTGGCGTGGGACCACCGTGAGCTCCAGTCAGCACTACTGCTGCTGAGCTCTGGGCCTCTGGCAGGACTTGGCCCCTTACTGACTTCTCCGTGTGCTTTGGCATCATGGGTGAGGACACCTCCTGGTGATGCTGCGTCCTGAGGATTAAATTGGGTCATCTGTAGAAACTGCCCAGCCCAGTCCCTGACACTTTTTTGTTTCTTTTAGAGACAGGGTCTTGCTCTGTTGCCCAGGCTGGGGTGCAGTGATGTGATCTCGGCTCACTGCAGCCTCAACCTCCAGGGCCTCTGGAGTAGCTGGGACTATAAGCACGCGCCACCCTGCCGGGATCATTTCTTCCATTTTTTGTAGAGACGGGGCCTCGCTATGTTCCCCAGGCTGGGCTCAAATGATCCTCCCTCCTTAGCCTCCCAAAGTGCTGGGATTATAGGGATAAGCCACTGCATCTGGCCTCCATGACATATATTTTTAAAGTCCGACTTTTAAAGTCAAATTTTTAAAGTTAGATTTTAAACCGACTATTTTGAAAAATATACACAAAAAAAGTTTAAAAACATGACAATGAATATCCCTCACCTGGAATCAGTAACTGAGAATATTGACACATTTGCGTTGGGGACTGGGCGGCTGGAGCTGCCATAACAAAGCTCCACCGACCGAGTGGCTTTGAAACAGAGCCTGCCGTCTCACCATCCGAGGGCTGGACGCGCAGGATGGAGCTCCGCGGGGTCAGCTCCCCGGTGCTCTGAGGAGGCTCTGCTCAGCCTCTCCCGGCTGTGGCTTAAAAACAGACCTGCCCTCCTGACGTCGGGAGCTGGACGTGCAGGACCGAGGGCCACAGGGTCGGCTCTCCGTGCTCCGAGAGGGCTGTGCTCAGCCTCTCCTGGCTGGGGGGCTTTGTGGCCACCCTCTGTGTTCCTGGGCTTCAGAAGCATCCCCTGGGCTCTGCCTTCATCTCCGCACGGGTGAGTGTGGAAACTGCCCAGCCCAGTCCCTGACACGCTTTTCTTTTAGAGACAGGGTCTTGCTCTGTCGCCCAGGCTGGAGTGCAGTGGTGTGATCTCGGCTCACTGCAGGAAACCAGGCGTGCTGGGTGCTGGGTCAGCCCCCACCTGGCCCTGTGCCCTCATCCTACCTAGTCCCAGCTGCCGTCACCCTATTCCTAATAAGGCCGCCTTCCGAGGTAACGGGGTTAGGACTTCCGCATAGGAATTTGTGGGGACACAGTTCGGCCCACAGCCCTTCCCACCTCCACACACACACGACTGTGAGGAGCTGGAAGACCCCACTCCGCGCCCCTGCCAGGTCCTCTAGGGACAAGCTCGCTGTCCTCGTCCCAGCACAGCCCCTGGGCCAGTTTCCTTGTCCCTAATGGGACCACAGTCAGAGATGGTCTGGTCTGGACCAGCAGGTTCCTCCCCCCGGGGCAGGCACACCTTTCTCTGTGCGCGTCCTGCAGTGTGGTCTCTCTGTGGGAGCACCCCCCGCCTGCGCCCCCGCCGCCTCACAGGCCTGTTCCACAGCCTGGGACAGGCTCTCTCTCCCTCCTGGCCCTGCATAGGGCACAACTCACAATCCTACATGGATCCAAGAGGGAGCAGCTGGGGAAACAACGGAATCCCATAGAAACACCCCGAATCTAACTTGACCCAGGACCAGCCAGTGGTCATTTCTGAATATTCTCCTTCTTAGTAGACTCTACCAGCCAAGGGAGGCCAGGAAGGCTTCCTGGAGTAGGTGGCCTGAGGACTGAGGCGAGGCAGGCCCTGCGTGGGGGTCGCCACTCAGCACCCCCACACTGGGCTTCTCTGGGAGCCAGAGTCTCTGAGACCGGCTGAGGGAGGTGGGGGAGAGGCTGCTTGAACCGCAGACACCAAGCTCTAGCCCCCACCCCACCCAGCCAGTCGGTAGAGGCAGCGGAGGCCGAGAGGCCCAGCTGGGCCTGCTCCCCGGGGTGGATTCCAAAATGAGGAGGGACGCAGCAGAGAGCCCAGGGTCCTGACTTGAGGCCCACTGGCCGAGGGCCGGTGCGAGCCAGACAGGAAAAGGGTTGGGCCTGTCAGCGAACAGCACAGATCAAGTCCAGAGCGGGTCCCTCCACCAATATCTGCAAATAAATAGCAGTTAAGTTTTTAGTTACACGAACAATGCACAGATGGTTCCATGGACATTGCGGTGTGGACACACAGCAACCTTGGTCCTGTCGCCAGCACCTTGCCCTACAGCTGAGGGTCCCCTAGCACTTCCTAACCATGCAGGGTCCCTGCTTACAGTTCCCATGATGACCCCCTGTTCCTCACCTGCCTGGATGGAGGCCCCGAGGGGCTGCCTGCGGTGGTGGTACCACTGGGTCTCCATTGCATTCCCAGAAACCCAGAGGGCAAGGCATTTCCCCTGCTCTGTGCTGAGTCCACCCAGCCCCAGCCTAGTCCCAGTAAGGACTGCAGCCTGCCCTGTCCCAGGCCGCCTCCCAGGAGTCCTCTTGGCCCTGATGCCAGGAGCCCATCTTCCTCCATTCAGGCAGGTCTCCGAGTGCCCTGACCTGGCTGCCCGCTGGCCCTGAGAGTCACACTACCCCACTGCCCTCCTTGGTCAAAATCCACTCTGGAGTGGCTGGGGGATTCCCCGGGGCCACCCTGCACACGCTTCTGCAGGGAGCTTCCCCTGGCCGGCCGGCAGACAAGGGCGGTCTCAGAGAGGGGGTTCACCTCAGCAGCCCCTTGTGTAGCTGGCCCCCGCCCCTGCCACCTCTGGGCACACCACCACGAAGCTGGGAGACAGGCATGCAGGTGAAGGAGGCGAGCGCTGGGCAACCAGAAGGCCATGGGGCACAGAGGGAACAGGGACGCTCTGGGTGGCCTCAAGGTCACTTCAGACCCCTGGGAGGTGCTCAGTGAGGTTGGCACTAGGAGTTGGTCCTGGTCACATGACAGCCCCACTACCTCTGGTGTCCAGCCAGCACGCCCTGGGCCACTAGAGCAGCAGCCCCTTCCTCCTCTAAGCTGACTGCTCCTTGAGTCATCACCACCCCCCGCCATAGAGGCCGCCTGTCCCAGGAAGCAGAGGGACCGCAGCTGCGGCAACCAGGACCCGGTCTCTGTATCACTTCCTGGGGGGCCATGCCCGGGCCCGAGATGGAGCTGAGTGACAGTGCCCCAGATCTGACAGTGCGGGGCTAGTGCCATGTTTGGGGAACCCTGTGGCATGGGACATGTGGGTGGGCTGGGAAAATCACCCCATTGTGTGGCATCTCGGGCCTGGATCTTAAGCCCCTGTGTCAGTGCCTGCGCCTGGCAGAAGAGCCGCAACCCCCAGGTTGCCATGTGGGCATCCCAGGCCCTGGCCCTGGCAGGCATATGTTTCAGGAGGTCCTTGTCTTGGGAAGCCCAGGGTCAGGGGCCCGTGTCTGTCCACATCCGAGGCAAAGGCCCACTTCGTCTCTGAAGCATGTTTGCTGTGAGCGCCAGTCCCCACTGTCTTGCTGGAAAATGTGGAGGCCCCACTGCCCACTGCCCACTGCCCAGGGCAGCAATGCCCACACCACGTGGTCCCAGCTCTGAGCTTGTGCTAAAAAGGGGGTACAGACTGGACCCTGAGCCTGCCGAGGGGCCGCACTCCTCCCAAGGCGGGGGTCTCCATGGGCCACCCAGTTACACTCCCCTGTGCCAGAGCAGTGCAGACAGGACCAGGCCAGGATGCCCAAGTGTCAGGGGCTGGGGATGGGTAGCCCCCAAACAGCCCTTTCTGGGGGACTGGCCTCAACAGGGAAGGGGGTGAAGACTCTTAGAAGGAAATCGGGGGGACCCAAGTCAGAGCCAGGCTCTGGGCAGAAGTCGCAGCCTCACGTAGAAGGAAGAGGCTCTACGGTGGGGGCGAGTGCCCGTCCCGGGGCGGCAGAGGCCCCAGCAGAGACTTCTCAACAACATTCCAGCTGGGCTGGCCCTTCCAGAGCCCTTGCTGCCCAAGGGATGTGGGCAGGTGGCCGAGGAGGCTTTGTGGGGCCGCCCAGCCCCTTCCTCACCTCTCTCCATCTCTCAGAATCCCCGGACAGGCCCTGGAACCCCCCCACCTTCTCCCCAGCCCTGCTCCTGGTGACCGAAGGAGACAACGCCACCTTCACCTGCAGCTTCTCCAACGCCTCGGAGAGCTTCGTGCTGAACTGGTACCGCATGAGCCCCAGCAACCAGACGGACAAGCTGGCTGCCTTCCCCGAGGACCGCAGCCAGCCCTGCCAGGACTGCCGCTTCCGCGTCACACAACTGCCCAATGGGCGCGACTTCCACATGAGCGTGGTCAGGGCCCGGCGCAATGACAGCGGCACCTACCTCTGCGGGGCCATCTCCCTGGCCCCCAAGGCGCAGATCAAAGAGAGCCTGCGGGCAGAGCTCAGGGTGACAGGTGCGGCCTCAGAGGCCCCGGGGCAGGGGCGAGCTGAGCCAGTCCTGGGGTGGGTGTCCTCTCCTGCACAGGATCACGAGCTCCAGGGTCGTAGGGCAGGGACTTCCCAGTTCCAGTCCAGGGCTCTGTTCCGCACCCGGGGAATGCTACCAGCATCCCTGTCCTCTCGCTCTGGAAGCACCCCAGTCCCTCTAGTCTGCCCTCACCCCTGCCCCTGACCCTCCAACCTGACCCCGTCCTAACCCCTGACCTTTGTGCCCTTCCAGAGAGAAGGGCAGAAGTGCCCACAGCCCACCCCAGCCCCTCACCCAGGCCAGCTGGCCAGTTCCAAGCCCTGGTGGTCGGTGTCGTGGGCGGCCTGCTGGGTAGCCTGGTGCTGCTAGTCTGGGTCCTGGCCGTCATCTGCTCCCGGGCTGCACAAGGTAACATCTTCCCAGCCCCTCGTCCTGCCCTGCCCTAACCCTGCTGGTGGCCTCACTTCCGCCTCCCCTCCCTCCACCCTTCCCGCACCCCACCCACCTCCCCCGCACCTCCTCCTCAGACTAAGTCCCTGATGAAGGCCCCTAGGCTAAGACCCCCCCACCTGGGGAGCACGGCTCAGGGTCGGTCTGGTGACCCCAAGTGTGTTTCTCTTCAGGGACCATAGAAGCCAGGCGCACCGGCCAGCCCCTGGTGAGTCTCACTCTTTTCCTGCGTGATCCACGGTGCCTTCCTTCCTGGGTGGACAGAGGTGGAAGGACAGGCTGGGGCCACACGGCCTGCAGGGCTCACACTCTATTACAGCCAGGACCCCACCTCTCCGGCCCCCAGGCAGCAATCGCAATCCCTAAAGCCACGACCTGGGGCCCCAGCCCGCCTGGGGTCTCCGGGGGTGCCCAGCCCACGCGTGTGCCTGCCTGTGGGGGTGTGGGGTGGGCGTGGTCATTTCTTATCTTACGCTGGAGGCAGGAGACCTTGAAAAGTGACATTTTGGAATCCTAAATCTGCAAGAATGCCAGGGACATTTCACAGGGGAACATTGAGCCACAGAGGAGGGGTGGCACCCCCAGATCACACAGAGGGCAGTGATGGGACAGCCCAGGGTAAGCGGCTCTCAGTGGGGGGCCCAGGCTCAGTGTGGGCGCTGCAGCCAGGCTGTGGAGCCGCCGGCCTCCCTCCTAGGGTGGGTCATGGGGGCTGACTGCCCCTCTCTTTCTCCTGAAAGAAGGAGGACCCCTCAGCCGTGCCTGTGTTCTCTGTGGACTATGGGGAGCTGGATTTCCAGTGGCGAGAGAAGACCCCGGAGCCCCCCGTGCCCTGTGTCCCTGAGCAGACGGAGTACGCCACCATTGTCTTTCCTGGTGGGCTGGGCACCTCGTCCCTGGCCCGCAGGGGCTCAGCCGACGGCCCTCGGAGTCCCCGGCCACTGAGGCCGGAGGATGGACACTGCTCTTGGCCCCTCTGACCGGCTTCCTTGGCCACTGGTGTTCTGCAGACCCTCCACCATGAGCCCAGGTCAGCGCCTTCCCTCAGGAGAAGCAGGCAGGGTGCAGGCCATTGCAGGCCACCCATGGGCTGAGCTGCCTGGGGGCGACGGGGGCGCCAGTATGCACCTGCACCAGCCCCGCCGGGCACAGCCCCACCACAGGACTCATGTCTCAGTGCCCACAGTGAGCCCAGGCAGCAGGTGCCACCATCCCCTACAGGGAGGGCCAGATGCAGTCACTGCTTCAGGTCCTGCCTGCACAGAGCTGCCTGTGCCCAGCTCCCTGAATCTCTGCTGCTGCTGCTGCTGCCTGTGGCCCAGGGCTGAAGATGCCATGGCCCTGCCTGCTGCCCCGGGAGCCTCCTGCCTGAACTTGGGGGCTGGTTGGAAACTGCCTTGGAGCAGCCAAGGTGCCCCCGGCAGCGGCATCCCGAGGCGCCCTGGACGCAGGGTCCAAGACTGGACACAGGGGTAGGAGGTGCATGGGGCTGGGGGCTCCCCGGGAGTCATTTGCTCCCCACAGGCCTAGAGAAGTTTTCAGGGAAGGCCAGAAGAGCTCCTGGCTGTGGTGGGCGGGGCAGGAAACCCCTAGACCTTCACACATACCCAGGCAGCATCTCAGGCCCTTTGTGGGGCAGGGAAACTGAGGCAGTAAGACGGCAGGCAGAGCTGGAGGCCCTTCAGGCCCAGTCAGCACTCTGGCCTCCCGCCGCCCCATGCCACCAGCCCCTCACACCACTCAGGAGAGGGATATCCTAGGGTCCCAAGGTCAGGAGGGCAGGGCTGGGGCTGACTCAGGCCCCTGCCAGCTGTGGCCACCTGGGTGTTTTGAGGGCAGAGGTGCAGGCACCCAGGGTCCCCCCATTTGCCCACCTTGGGGGCTCTCCTTGGCACCCATTCACGAAATTATTTAAAGGAGTTTGGCCAGGCTCCCACCAGGGCCTGGGTGGGAAGGTACAGGCGTCCCCTCCTCGGCCTAGTACCCCCACCGCGGCCTGGCCACTCCTCACATCCACACACTGCACCCCCACTCCTGGGGCGGGGCCACCAGCTTCCAGGCGGCCAGCGGGCACCTGAGTGGCTGGGACAAGGGACCCCCCTTTCCTGTGGTTCTGTTATATTATAATTATAATTAAATATGAGAGCATGCTAAGGAGTTCTGTCCTGTCAGGCGGCTGTGGGGGCCATGGGCAGGAGGGAGGGAGGCCTCCAGGGAGGGGCAAGGCTGCAGCCAGGCTGAGGCTTCGCGTAGACAGTGCTGGCGGCTACCCTGGATCCTGGCCTGAGTCAGGCCTTTCCCTCGCTGTCCCAGAAACACACAGGCCCTCCTCGCCCTGTTTGCCCCATGCACACATACAGTCCTCAGGTGAGAAATCCCTCCTACATCCCGGGGCGGGGGGCACCATCTTCCCCAAGCCCAGGTCTTTTGGGGGGTCCCATGACCCCCTGCCCCCAGGCCTCCTGGCCAGGCATGGGCGTCCCTGAGTGGCTGTGCCCGCTCCAGCACCCCCGTGTCCCCATGCCTGCCAGTCCCTCCAGGCAGGGGTGGTGCCTGGTGCCAGGGCCCCCACAGCAGGGTTGGAGGCTGCCCTAGGCTATGAGAGACACAGTATCTGTGGGTCCCTCCCCAAGTACACAGGTGGGGGTGGCGGGGGGCAACGCCGCGCCTGCTCGAGCCCCATCGCCCTACAGTGGTCCTTGGTAGCTGGCAGCAGGGACGGTGCCAGGAAGGGAGCCCTGCCAGGCCCCCAGGCCCCGCAGCCACCCACCCACTGCCCCGCCCTGGGGCCCATTCTGTGCTTGCCACCCTGGAGCCCGGTCCTGGAGGGGGCGAGCGGTAGAATCCGCAGGCCTGTGTCAGGGACAGGCACAGAAACCTCCCACCCGTGGGAGCTCCCGGTGAGATTGGCAGATCAGGCCTGGGAGGGAATGCTGCCCAGGGGCTCTGCAGAGGATGTGGGTTTCCACCCGCAGAACCCAATAGGCCCCATGGAAAATGACCACAGGCAATGAGAAAGCCGTAGAGTGGTGCATGCGAGATCAGCGTCCAGAACTCACGGCTCTCACACACCTATTCACAGCACAGCGGGCTAGGAGATGGAGTGGCGGACGATATTTCACCTAGGACAGCAAGAGAGAAGATGCTCCCAGCATAAACCTAGCCTGACACGTGGGAAAGCTGCCGCAGAGGCTGAAGTTAAAGGCCCCGGGGGCCCCGAAGAGGCGCCACAGCTGCAAACATGCACATTCTTCCGATGCAATTCGTAAATTTAATACGATCCCAATGAAAACCACACTTCTGGAACTATCATGCTTATATGGAAAAATTAATAAGCAAGTAACAGCCAAAAAACATGAAAAGAAAGTGAAAGAGGACCAGCTTTGTGAGCTCAGGGGAAACTTACTGTAATGAAAACAGGGTGGTATAAGCACCAGAAGACACAGCAACAGGCCCAGTCCCAAAGCAGTGGGGGGGAAAAGACTTTTTAACCAACGGCCCAGGGATAGGGATAGCCATTTGGAAAAGTACTAAGTTAGACTCATATGCACAAATCCCAAATGCAGCAGAGACAGAAGCATAAAAAAAGAACCCTGGCCAGGCGCGGTGGCTCACGCCTGTAATCCCAGCACTTTGGGAGCTCGAGGTGGATGGATCATGAGGTCAGGAGATCGAGACCATCCTGGCTAACACAGTGAAATCCCATCTCTACTAAAAATACAAAAAATTATCTGGGTGTGGTGGCGGGCGCCTGTAGTCCCAGCTACTTGGGAGGCTGAGGCAGGAGAATGGCGTCAACCCAGGAGGCAGAGCTTGCAGTGAGCCAAGATCGCGCCACTGTACTCCAGCCTGGACGACAGAGCCGGACTTCATCTCTAAAAAAAAAAAAAAAAAAAAAACCCTACAAGAAACAAGAAACCGTGGGTGCATTCTTGCAGTGTGGGAGGGAAGGCATTCCCAACGAATAAAGGACATCAGGGAGCAATTAAAGAAAATATTGATACACTGAACTCCATATATTGGAAAACAAAAAACTTTAGCTTGGCAAAAAAATCATAAACAAACTGAGGGAAAATATTTGCACCACCACAAAAGAGCAAATACGCCAGTCGTGGGAAGATCTAAGAGTCTGGAAAAAGCAAGGTCAAAAGTACTCCAGAAAGCGCAGGAGACACAGCCCAACAGCTCAGAGAAAATGTGTGTGCATGCCTGCATGTGCACGTGTCTACACACGTGTAGATATATGTGTGCAAACAAATGTGTATGTGTACATACTCACACAGGGGTATGTGTGTGGATGTGTGTGTACAGGTGTGCAGACGTATGTGTGCATACGTGCGTGTGTATCTACAATATATGTATATATGGCAGTGCACGTGTGCATACACATATCCCTTAAACAATGAAAGGATGTTCAGTTTCTCGCATAATAACAAAAATACAAGTTGAAACTACACCCACCAGGCTGGCAGAGCTCTGACAAGGGTGCAGCTGTTGGAGAGGCTGCAGGGAGCAGGCCGAGGGGCTGGCGGGGAAGCCGAGCTGGAGACGCACTGGCGCTGTCTGGTAGGCGGTGGGCACTTGCCCTTTGCCCCGTCAACCCCCCTGTCCTCGCAGAAACACTTCCCAGGGGTCACCGGCAAACATGTGCAGAGAGAGAGCACGCGGGCTCACGGCGCTGGCTGGGCAAGGGCAAAGTTGTCCAAAGCTGGCCGGGGGCTTGAGCCCGCTCTGGAGTCTCCATCAGCGTACAGCCGGGGCAGCAGGAGCTGGTAGGAGGCTCAGAGCTCCCCACAGAGGGTCAGGTCACTCGAGATCATGAGGGGATGCATGCGCAGGACAGGACAACTCGCTGTCCCCAAAGGCAGGGTTGTGTGAAAATGACATGGCAGCAGTCTGAGCATCACACAATGCCAAATTAAAACTAAAAACCTAATTGAGGCTTGGCACGGTGGCACTTTGGGAGGCCGAGGCGGGAGGGTCGCTTGAGCTCAGGAGTTTGAGACCAGCCTGGACAACAAAGTGAGATCCTGTCTCTACAGAAACAATTTAAAATTAGCCAGATGCAGTGGTCCCAGCTCCTCGGGAGGCTGAGAAGGGAGGATCCCTGGAGTCCGGGAGGTCGAGGCCGCAGTGAGCCACGATGGTGCCACTGACTCCAGCCTGGGCCACAGAGCAAGACCCTGTCAAAAACAAACAAACAAAAAGCCTAATTGATTGACACACTTTGAATTTGTTTAAAAGAACACGAGCTCAGATCGATACTCACAAAGAGACAAGGCGGGAGGGGAGGGAGGAAGCGGTCGCTGTCCCGGGCCGGGCCGGGCGGGCGTCCGCGGTGGCGGCGGCTGAGAGAACGCGGCGCAGTCAGCACTTCGCCTCCCGCCTTCCCGGCAGGCCGCCCCGCGCACTCACTTTTTCCGTCCCCGGCTGGCCCGGGCGTGTGTCGCCTCCTGGCTGCGGCTGCGCTCCCGCCCCACCCACGCGCCCCGGGCGGGTCTTCCCGGCCTAGCACAGCAGCGGCTGCGGCTTCAGGAGCGCCCTGGGTGTGGCCGGCCTCTGGGCTCCCGGGCGGCGCTGAGCGAGGCCGGAGCACGCGGGATCCAGAGCGGGAGAAGGGCGGCCCCGCCCCGCGTCCCAGGCCCCTGAGCCCGGCCAGCTCCCCGCGCGCCCCCCGCGCGCCCCCGCGCCCCCCGCGCGCCCCGCCTGCAGCGCCGCCCCAACCCCTGCGCCCCACCCCACCCCACCCCCGCCCACCCCGGCCGGTCTGCGGAGTGCGCGGGCGCTGGACGCCTCACTCTGCGCGGGGACCACAGGTGCTGTGGGCGCGTGGATGGAGCCCAGGGTCCTTGGAATTGGGGACGGGAGGGGGAGGGCTCTGGTCAGGGCTCCCAGCAGGAGCGAAGATGAGCGGGGGGGGCCTCTGAAAGGGAACCCACCCTCGGGTACAGGAGACAGGGCTGGAGATCTGGGTGCAGCGCCAAGGCCCTGGGAGCTGGTGGGGCCGCATGAGGGGCTGCGGTGTGAGTCCTGGTGGTCTCAGCCCTCGTGCGTCAGGGCTCCAGTGTGGACGAACCTCACTTTGCGTCTGGGTGAGGCTCCCGAGTTTCTGGAGAGTTCAGGATGTGGAGGGTCCTCCAGAGGGTGACCGAGGCCACACCATCGCCGTGGCCCCCTCGACTGTGGCACAATCGCTCCCCTTCTTGAGTGGATCTCCACATGTTCTCCCCATACCTCTGACCCCAGTCAGTCTTCCCCACCCGCCGGTGGGGCCCCTGTTTGTCCAGCCTTGAAAAACCTGGCCGGAGTGTGGCCGGAGGGGCACTGCCGGGGCCGCTGGCCAGGGCCGTGAGAGCGCAGGACGCCTGCCCTGGGCACGGGGGCACCATCGTTCCCAACTAAGCCACAGAACCCAAGGTTGGTTTGGGGTCTTACGTTTTCAATCCCAATGTAACCTGCACAACCAAGTTATTACATACATGGAGTAGGATCAGCCTTAAAAAGATGGAAGTCGGTGCGCCACGTTCCCAGCGGCGCAATTCACATCAGCGGCCAGGTGGAAGCAGCAGCCCGGGGTCCACCGCCGGAAGAAGGAGCAAACAGCACCGCGATGCCGCACAGAGGGAGTCACCTCAGGAAGGAAGGAAGGGCTCCCACACCCACCGCTGCGTGGAGGAACCTCGAGGACGTCACACCGAGGGGCACAAGCCACAAAAGGACAAACACTGTGTGACTCCACGCACACGAGGTGCCCAGAGTGGGTCGCCCAGAGTGGGCCGGTTCATAGGCAGAGAAAGCAGACGGCGGGGCCCGGGGCAGGGGGAGCCAGCGGGAAGCGAGTTTTTAATGGGGACACTTTCCGTTTTGCAACAGAAAAAGTTTCCGTTTCTGGGCTGGGAGGTCAGCCGCTGAACCGCAGTGGCTGGGTGGGGAAGGTGGGCCTCGGCCACTGCCTGGCCTGTGCAGGCTGCCCTGGAACCAGGGGCAGGGGCAGGAGGGCCAGGTGTGAGCCGTCGGCCCATGGCAGCCTCCAGCCTCACGGATGGACAGAAGGGGAAACTGAGGCCCAGGGAGGGGTAGCTGTAGTAGTGAGGGTTCTCTGGAGAACTAGAACCAATAGGCCGGGGTGGTGGCTCACGCCTGTAATCCC